GTAGTAGTAGTAGTAGTAGTAGTAGTAGTAGTAGTAGTAGTAGTAGTAGTAGTAGTAGTAGTAGTAGTAGTAGTAGTTTTCTCCGCATATAAAATTTAAAATATATATTGTTATTTAGTTGTCAAGCTGAAAATAGAAGTACACAGGCAATAACAATAATAAATATGGTGCACCATCTTTATACTCGACAATAAAATTACCCGTCTTTAAAAACTTTTCTGCTCAACGTAGTAGCGTTTTTCTTTTTTTTGGAAAATCTGTCAGTAATCATGTTATCGCGATATGCTTTACAAAGTTACTGGCTGGTTTATCATAAAAATACCCTCACGCTGAGTTGAAAGGTTTTAAATTTGGTATTGGAGTACTTCTTATAACATATAGGCTCTCCAACAGAGATTATTTCCAATTAGTAATTTGTTTAACATGCGTAACTATGACGTAAAAATATCTTTATTCAAAAAGTCGTTAATATTATCTGATTTTTAACCGACGATGTTGTATATATCGTACGTGTCGTAAGACTTGTTTAATTAAGAATTTCTCAGATCTTCTAAACGTCGTATTTGCAAGTCAGGAAAGACAGATAACCATAAGAAGAATGTAAATTCTGATGCAGATAATGAAATTAATGGTTGAAAACGGTATCAATTTTGGCAGACAAATGTACATGTCTTTCTAATTTTTCTGCTTTTTGTCTACGCTATTGAATAGTTTTAATTTTAGAATCATAGTGGTCTCTTTTATTTTTTAACGCATCTTCTTTCCAGACTAACTCAAACCTCTTTTCAGCGTCTTCAAATTCCCGAAAATCTTCTGCGGCCAATATCGAGGAACAAAACGGCGACCGAATATTTTGCCCATTTTCACGCTCTTTTATTGTCTTTTTTTAGCCTCCACTGTTATTCTCTGTTGATTCTTGTTGTTGCTTTTGAAATTTAGAAAAGCAATCATTTGTATTTGTAGTTGGCGATTTAGGGTATATCACATGATATTAAATTGTTAACTTTTATTGGATGTTTTTTCACAATGCATCGAAGAAATTGAGAGTACAGTATTTCACTATCTCATCTGTTAGTATTAGTAAATAACCTGCCATGTTACGATATGTATATGATGGTGTGCAAAAAAAAAAGGCAATTTACAGTATTCTCTTTAATTTGTAAATAGGTAACTTTTCCAATTCTGATTCTATTCAATTTTATTATTATGTAAATAAAAATAAAAGCTTACTACAAAATAGTTCTATTACTATGCAAACAAGCATAAAGATGCCCTTCTGAAATACTACTTAAACTATAAACTTTGTTTAGATAAGGTCCATCGTCACATTTCAAACTGACTATTGAAATCGATTTTGATTTCATATTCTTCTTCCAACTCCCTGTTAATGGGAAGAGCGCGATATTTGCGCATCTCTTTTCCGCTTCTATCAAATGCCTTACAGAAACGTTTGCCTAAGCCGTCTTTCGATTCCATGTGTTCAGATTTCAATTTATGTCCCTCCCAGATATCTGCCAAAAAAGCGAATTTCCCCTAATAGCTGGGGAAAAGATGTATAACAATAAGGATATTTTTTTATGTATGCCATTGTCCTAATCTTGCCCACAATTGTCCATATTTTCACTTCTTATCTTTATGAGATGCTGATGAATTGCTTGATCAGCCAAACATCTGAAAAACCCAAGTCCCTGTAATATGCCTGACAAGTTTTGAAACTCTGCCATCAGAGGATGGTTTATGACCTGGTGCTGGCTAAAGGATAACTATATTCGGTTTTTCAACTTTGCGGCCAATTCCATAATGAATGAGATCTTATGTTTTACAATCCAAATAGATGCGTTTATCTTAGGGTTTAATACCAGACATACTCCATCATTAATGGTACTTCTTCTCATTTGTGTCATACGTAGATCCAATGGTAGCCGTCGATATGATGAATTTCGATCGTGAATGATGATGTAATCTTGTCGTGCGATAAGGCCAATTGTTAGCGTGCCCATAAGCGGCAGGCAAATTGTTTCTTACGACGTGAGATTGATGACGGCACGTTATTATTTATTATCTTTATTCAAAGAGAAATGTTGGTTTGTACCGATAGTTAATCCTGACATTCTGATTATATCGTCTATTAGCCCTCCTATTAGATATTTTTAAATAAGCTGACAATATCCCGTTTACACGTAAATACCCTCTCTATTACAATTAACGTTGGACTTTTTTTAACTAGAAGATGAAGTTGAAAAATAAATAAATTGTTTGTTTTGAAATCCAAGTGCCATACTCAATCAAAGATTGTTTTGTTCTTTGAAAGTGTCCCATGCTTCATTCAATGTAGCAAACACGCCATTCGCAATGAGTCTCTGCTCAACAGTCGTCGATGAACTCAGCTATAAAATAAAATACAATACCAATCATCAAAATATTAGTAAACTATCGTAGCAGTGAACCCATATTATTCGTAAACGGCTAATTACCTTGTCTGGATGAACTTTAGCAATAGCCTTCATATACCTGACTTTAACCTGTGCAGGCGTAACCAATTCTTGCAAGCCAATCTTCTTCCATTCCAACCCCTCCCATAATACTATATCAATACTTCCAAGCAATGCTCTTAAATTATCCTCTTTCCCAGCTTTCCACATCACCAACTTGCTATCCACAATGTCCATTACACGGAATTTCTCAGCATCCTCGCGTTCTTCTTGTTGTCTCTGATGTCGAAGTTTTTGAACAGCTGGACTCGAATCGTCTATTGCAACGTTACTAGACGAAGAGGTCATTGTACTGAATGGATTACCAGTCTCTACGAAACCAAAAGCATTAAGTTCCGTACCAAAAGTATTGCTAGTATTCACAGGCGCAAAAAGATCTGTCAAAGCGGCTTGAGAAGAATTGGGCAATTGAGAACGTGATAGTGAGCTACCGGATGACGATGGGGGTTTCCCAACATTGTCTATATCGCCCGAGAACATTTTAATAGCTTTCTGACAACGTCGAAGGCCATCATTTATTGTCTTACTGTTGGTCATATCAGATTTGAGTAATTTCTCATAATCGTCACGAGCATCAGTGTACTTTTCCATCGCTTCGTATGAGGTCGCTCGACGAAGCAAAGCTTTTGCATAATGCTCTTTGAGGTTTATATCTACTCCAGGCGGAGGCGGATTATCATAATCATTTCCTATTAATTGCATTACACGGTTACAGTCCTCTACACATCCGCGATGATCTCCGTTCTTTAACCGAGATGCGGCTCTATTGTTATATGATATGACTACGTGTAAATGATTTGATGGTAGTGAATCGATTGCTCTCGAATAACTTTGCTCGGCTGCCCCGAATTGCCCCAGTCTGAAAAGCTCGTTTCCTTGGTTCCTGTGACGTTCACATGTTTTTAATTGTTCTGATGTAGCATGCACAACGGGCCGTGGAGGATATTTGGGTTTATTCGATAAGGCTGAAGAGGGTGATCTTGAGCGTGTAGACGACTGTGATGGCACTTTTAGAGTAGAAGACGTGGTTTGAGGAGTACGATGTCGGGCCGGCGATACATAAGTTTTGTCTGAGGAAAGCGAACTGGGTTTTGTGGGTTTTGTGGGTTTTGGTTGAAGTGTACGTTTTGATTGTACAGACGGCTGCCTAACAGGCTTTCCACGTCTCCCCGACAGTATCTCGTCGTCACTACTATCTTTGAACTTTGAATTTTCGCGAGCAGGCTTGTATCTTCGTGACCCCGGGGTTTCATCCTCGCTGCTATCATCATCGTCACTGTCTCGAAAGCTTCCGAATGCTGAATAGTTCTCGTCATCCCGCCCATCTGAATCACGACGCATTGCATTGTCTTTTAACCATTTCGGTTTTCTGTTACCCTCGTCCGCTTCTTGTTGCTGTTGCTGTTGAAATTCTCCTATAGCTTTGTTAACTTTTTCCTTTGATGTCCTATAAAAATTACTAGCCCTTCTGAATGCATTAAATCCTATTTCGCTTGCAGTTGATAGTAATTTCTCTTTCTGTTGCTGAAAATTAGCGTTCGAAAATGATGACATGGAAGAAGAAGAAGATAGGTCACTGCCCTCACCATCAGAGCTATTTTTGCCAAGTGAACGTGATTTCGTCATGTGCAAGTTTCTATTCTTGAGGCGATCCGGCCGTGGTCCTAACACAGGATCATCCTCACTATCATAGTCTGTTGAGAATTCCTTCCTTTGTGAATATTTTGAGCTTTCCTTGGTGTTTTCGCGCCCTAGAGCAGCTTCAGCCTCCCGTTGTTGCACGAGAATTTCCACGGCTGACGATACATCTACTCCGGTAGCTGTAGCAGCTAATGCATTCTGAGCTTCCGTAACAGTGAAACCCATATCTACTATCTGCGCAATCAAATGATCGTTTGGTTCCTTTGAGGACTTTTCTACCGAACGAGATTTATTTTCTCTTGCCTACACCATTAAAGAGCAACACGTAATTAGAGCATGTACACATACACACACACGCATCAGAACATTCACATACAGTAGATCTTGCGGGTTTGGGCGGTGGGGTTTTTCCGGTTTTATGCGTCGTCGAAGTCGATGAAAGCCCAGGCAGGAGATCAAAATCGTCATCTACTGCTTGCGGCTTTACTACTTGTTGACGAGTAGGTTGAGAATTGGGTGTATGTACTGGTTTAGGTAAATCATCGAATTCTAAATCAAGCAAGAGATTGGCGCTCGGCGAAGCAGAGAGCTTTATTTGAATAAGCGACATATTACCGACCGTTTAGGATATCAATATCTCATAGAATGAATGCAAAACATGTATCACGATATGGAACTCACAGCTGGTGATATATTCGTTGTTGGATTTGGTGAAAGACCTGGGAGTAAGTCTAGATCCCATTCATCAGCGTTCACAGGTTTTGGCTGGGGAGAAGTTTGCGTCTTTCTATCGCAAGCAAGCATCATTGTTAGACATATACTAGCACATTTGCGCGGATCAACACGTGTACACTTACAATTCGTTTAGAGTCTGCGTTCTTTGAGGCGGAGTTCGGACATTTCCTAGAATATTCCCAAGTGAACCAAGATTATTCTGGTTCTTCGTTCTCGATGCAGAATTTGTGTTGGTTGTATTTATTGTATTGGGTGAAGGACTACGGGCTATAGTGTTGTTGCCGAAAGAGGTGGTGGGTAAGGTTGTCGAGGACAACGAGGATGTGGTTGTCGATAACGAGGGTATGGCTGTTGATAAGGGTGTGGTTGCTCTTAGGGAGTTCAAAGAGGCCGGCTGCTGTTGAACGGGGGGAGGCTTTACACCAGTGGAACTCCAAATCAAATTGTCAAGATCGTCCATTGTGGAGTTTGAGAGTAACTACAGTAAACTAATACTAATACAAATTTATATGAACCGTCAACCCTGTCTGTTGTTGTGACACAACAGCGAAACTTCGATATGCATTTCCCTATTTGGAATAAGAATGGGTATTGAACATACCAAGACGGGAAGCATAGCTCTCAAAATCGCAAAATCAGAATTACATTGATACAATGAGCGTGCTGCTGATTCTCAAACTTTGGCAATAGTGCAATTTTTGACGTTGTAGCAAATAAACTCGGAAATAAATAGTGATATGTGATGATGACTGATTTATCATGACTTCGTTGCCCCGCTTTCGAAATTGTGATCAACAATAAAAAATACAGGCCACATGCTTTAAACCATTTCTATAAATGCCATCGAGGTTATCTAATATCGTATCTACTACCGCGGTCAACGTTTGGCATAATCTTGTAGGGAAAATAACATTGCCTACTAACGAGTAATAAAGCGGGCGATCAGCGCATAATAAATTCAACACTAGTCGAATTAGTCCGTTTGTGTTAGTTATGATTTTGATGAAGGACTACTCCGTATGCGGAATATAATGTCGGTTGTAATCTACTTTGATGATAAAACTGTTTTGATTACATGATGACAGCCGCAGTAATAATTCACGTTAACTCTGACGAAGGTACCACTGTATTAACGTTTATGGAATCAATGCGCGTGATTTCTCGTTGCTAAACGAATGCAATATTACATAAAGATTTACGGAAATGTCATAATATCCGCACAGAAATATTTGTCAAAGAGCAAGGATGTTCAGCCGAAGGCGAAATCGACGAGTAAGCTGTTATTTTACGCTTCATCGCTTCCTCCCGTATATCACACATCATTTTGTTTCGATGTTGTCCACTATCGCTCGCTTTCCATTCTATTGCTTTTCTGTTTTACCTATCTCTGACATCTACTCTCCTCCGCAAAGTTACGATCCACTTCCAACTACTCACCACTTTCTCGCCTTACTATCCACCGCATCGATTGGGACTGTCCGTCTTCACCCATATCCATCATCACATTCCACGACGTGCAAATTAGGTCGGCTAGCGGTTCTTCCTCAATGGCGTAATTCCGGTTACGGCCGACAGTTACTTTCAACAGCAGAGTTGTACGCTAAAAATGTTTTGGGAATGGAAAGGATCTTATTGCATGCTCAAATACATAAAAGAAACTGGTACGAAAAAGCTGGGTATATTGTCGTGAGCGAAGAGGTCATCTTGGAGGAGGGAATTGAACACGTGAAGATGGAAAAGGCGTTGAAAGAGGAATATAATGACGAAGTCAAGTAGGAGGATCCTGGCAATCAAAGTATTGGGCAAATATGGTTGTAGGAGTAACTTAATTGACGTTTTTGTCCGCGAGTGTATATACCTTTTGTCAATTCTTTTCATCTATTGTCACGCTTTCACATCTAATAGAATTAATGACCGCGTTATGGGCATGAAAGCGAATGTCTAGATCGAAATTTGTTAACAGAGCAACATCATGTCAAACGTTCATTATCACATTAAAACAATTCGCTGTCCAAATGTCAAATGTTAGGTTATGAAAACCAATTACTGAAAAATTGCATGAAGGGAGTGTTTTTCAAAGTTGGGACGAGGCACTTAATACAATCAGTGGCGGAAAGAAAAAAAGAAAAATTATCAGTCCTCGTATCAATGAATAAACGTGTGATCCAAGCCTCCAAAAAACTGCGATATTTATTGCATCGGGAAGGAAAAAACCAAGTTGGATATAACAAACACTAATGGGACAATTAATGTTGGAGAACATTCACGCGCGTATTTGCGATGCCAAATCACAAGGCACATACAGTCAAAGCTGGTTATAACGAATTCTACAGGACCAGAGAAAATTTTTTTATAACCAGAAATTCCTTATAACGAAGGTCACTTTTATAGCTAAGATTATAACTATTTATAATTGGCTCGGAGAAATCTTCGTTATAAACAGATCTTCGTTATAACCAAAGTTCGTTATAGCCAAAGTTCGGTATAGCCAGCTTTGAATGTAGCTTAAAGAATGTCATGTGAGCATATCCTAGTTCTGAGTGACACTGCTCGTCACGTATCACGATACCCGCATATCTTCATCTAAAGAAGGGGAGGGACGAAGCTTGTTGGAGAGAGCACTGTCAGCTAAGCCGATTAAGAAAGCTGTTATGGAAGTCTCAGTAAACCTAAAGAAAGAATTAAAGATTGTGAGAACTGGGGGAACATTCTCTGGATACAACAGAAACCCAAAAGCATCGTTTGAGAACCTTACGCCACGTAATTAAAGCAACGTAGGATAATTTGTCTAAAAAATCACAAATATTGAAAGTGATTTATTTTCTCATCAGCATGATTATATCATTGGGAACCAAATTTGTGCGCATGTACGTATATTCAAATGATATAAATCTCCATTTCATTCGAACCCACTCATCAGAGTATCACGCCCTCCTCAACTTGTCCAAAACAATTGCATCGGTTTTACTTGCATAATACAATCAATCGTACAGTGGAATTCTCCATTCTAAGAATTTCTGCATTCTATTTTCCTCTTGACGACCTATTGGTCTCAGAGATCTTTGATCATTCGAGAGTCAAGAAATAAGAGATGGACTAATCTTGTAAGACAACCAGTTATCGATCCAAGAAAAGGATACGGTTCATCAATGTACTTTTGCATATCCCTTAATGCATTTATCTGGTTTTGCACAAACCTTTTCGTCAAGAAACGCAAGACTCGTTAGAATACGAAACAGAAATCAACACACTTCACGAGTTAATAATAATAATTTTCTACCTCGTGTGTGAGTTATTTAAATATTCCATAAATTCATTGTCAGACGATATTTCATCAAAATCTACAATTTCCATGACATCAAACTCGTTTTCTGTTCCATCACGCTTAATTTCATAAAACGGTTTATTTACGCTGAATAAATATTCGATAAGCGCTTTTGGTCTCTCTTCTTGTAAACCCTGACAGACCAGGTACCTGATGAATGAAGAGCAGTTCAAATAAAAAATATGTACACAAAAATATGAATTGGCAAAGTGCATAATGTGACTGAGTTTGGGACCTGTCACAGTTCGGAACCCAGGTCACTCAGCCCACAACCCAGTTGCCTCATTTTCGAACCCGGTCACTCAATACAACATGCTCACCTCTCTGAATTTGCAGGCCGGCTTGGTAACGGTTTGATTATTGATATTCGGCCAAAACATCGAAACAAGATCCATATCAGACCGGTTGTAAACGCTGTGTACGCGTCAAATAATTTCAATACAAAATCGCCATCTAATTTAAATATAACAGTTAATTCGAGTATCGAAGTTATTCGAGTTCAGAATGGGACGGAATCTTACTTCTTCGAAGTATCATAAACATTATCAATGTTTGACAAAGAAGTAGTTGTTTTGTCAATTCTTCCTGCATTTCTTCCCTACCCTCGACACGAAAACCCTATAAAAAACGTCTAATTAACAAACATCTTTATAGCGAGGAAGGCTGTCAGAGAATTCTTACTCCATCGGCGGTGACTAGATCAACACCAGAGCCATCCGCAGCCTCGAGTATTACTTTAGCAAATTCTCTTATATTCTGCTCAATACATATATTACCTAAAAGAGTGAAAGAAAAAGGACACCATGAGCGTAATTTTCCAATTTCCATCTGTAGACTGGTTTTTGAGCTTACCAGTTCCGTCACCGCCATGAAATATTTCCAACGATTCGTTCGCACGCGCGTCGGGATGAAACCTCTCTATGTTGAAATCAAGTTCGCCTGCAAGCGTTATACCCCAACCACGAACAGGCTGATTTGATGTATGCCTTCTCCACAGTAAATACTCTGAGAAACCACCAGGACCACCGCACAAGTCAGCAAATCTGAATTCCTAGTTAATGTAAGCGGGTACATCAACGGTAGAACTACTGAATAAAACGACGATTCGTTAAATCATTGTTACAGACCCTATCGCTCTGTACATCGTTTTTGAGTTCTGAGAGTCGTTTTAATGCATCTAAATGGGCGAGCTTGGTAGCGGATCGATTCATAAATATCGAAATTCCCGTCTTTTCGTACGGATTTGCTTTACTTCTTGCCGCCGTCAGCAATTCGTGAGGGGCATCTCCCAGACGGCTCTATACTTTAGACTTGATAAGATACCCGAAATGTGACGTTAACCTTGCAAATTACCCGAGAAACAAACCTTTTCAGCCGATAGAAGATCAAGCTGTAAGTACGGTATAAATCCATCGGACTTTTCTGATTTCTATTATGATCGCACGAAATTTTAGTCGCCAGTCTCAAAAAATTGCATTTGTAAAAGGAGTCTGTCTTACCGGCCGAACATTGATCTTTAATCCTCTCAATGCGCCTCCCGCTTCTAGTCTTCGACGACAAGATACATAATCGCGCGTGTTTCGTCTTGAACCAGGTGCCTCCTGGCCACGACGATGAGAAGAATTTGTCGGCAAACGAGGACACGTCTGAGCTGTTGGAAGCGGAATAGGCGATCTGAGGGGAGTATTTCGATATTCTGGGTCTTCTTCTGTTGAATGTACACTATGGTGTCTGGAAAATGTTTAAACGATTGAAGACACGGAACGAAAAAGATATATGTAAAAAACCTGTGTATGGGTCTGAATCCATGTTAACAGAGCCAGAAAATCAACGATGTGTCAACACCAACAGTGTATTAAAATGGTTAAAAACACTGTTCACCGAGACAATTAAAGTAATCTACGGTAACACGGAGTAGATAAAGGAGACACACTCAGCCTCAATAAGTCGGCCAGCTCGCGATAAGACGTAAGTCTGCCAACAGCTCCAGATTAAGACGGGTCTTAATTGGATAATATCCAGTTGGCACACATCTATAATGTAACTTGCATCCGGAAACAATTGAGATCAATAAGATATGACGATAAATTAAAATATCCATCAGTTGAAATATGTTCAGCAGTCAAATGACCTAAATATAAATAATTCTATGTTGTTAGAACGAAGATAACGTCAATAAGTAAAAGCTGGTTGGCAGAGTTATTTATAATTACATGTAACAACACAACAATTTATTAAATGTGTAATATAGACACGTTATTTTCGATAACAAAAGAGCATATGACAAATCAAGGCTGACCGACCGTACATTAAGCACAGGGGGTGAATATCAAGTAAATCTTACGGACTACAGTCAACTCTCTTTATAGAGACCGCCTGTGCTCTGCCCGTTTTCAAAAACGTCATATAATTTATTATATCTAACTACGCTGCATATAACGACCGATTTTGAGGCTGGTCGTTATAAAGAGAGTTGACTGTAGTATTAGCAAATACTTTAAGGTTTAAAGAACATTGAGCGATTGATACTTGTTAGCGTTACCCGAACCACACCACGAGGAGGTCAAGTATCATGTGGTTCAAAAATAAAAATGTTGGTAACTGTGTCGGGATCGTACCAGCTAAAGGACTTACAAACTACAGACCAGTTGAACAACTAGACATCCACAATTATGCCCCGCTACG